ACTAGACTCCCCATGCAGTGAACTTTTTCTGACTCTGCTTCAATATCACAGAACTGCTGGTTGAAATCAGTGACAAGTTTGGACGGATGTGCGTTCACCATTTTCACCACAGGACTTCACACACATCAAAACTGAGCAGAGGAACAGGCTCAATGTGGGGAACAGTCTGGCAAAAGCTATTGCTGCTAAAACTTTTGTACGAAAACAACATTCTTTTATGCAGTACTTTTCCTAGTAAGAAGAAGAAGAAGAAGAAGCTTTATTGTCATTGTACAAAAATACAACAACATTTCATTTGGCATCATCTTTGTAGCAGCTAACTAGTAAGAGAGCGTGTGTACATTAGCTTACTGTAGTGGTACTGGTTGACTAAAGTAAAGGTTAATACTTCTTCCACGACTGAGGGTGAACTTCATCATACTAGCCAGGTGGTGTTAACATTGTGAATAATCTGGAGCAGCAGATCCGATGTTTGCATACTGATTTGTAAATTCCCCTCCAGCCACTATAGGTTTTTATGATGCCTCATGCATTCACAAGTAGATGGAAATATTCTTGGGAGCTCCACTGTCACCAGTGTCTGACTACCTATAAACAGCAAAGCTAAACTGTATCACAGTTCACACTGAATTGGCAAATGGTCACTACAACAATGAAACATATTCTTTCTGTTCTGTGCCTACTGGCATCTGTACTGCATGCCTTGACTCGATGCACTGTCCCAGCCTCAGAGTTTCATTTAAAAGGAGATTATTTGATTGGTGGGCTTTTTAATATTCATCAAATCAGTAGCCCTCGTTATCACGACAGACCAGAAGCCGTCGACTGCACCAGGTGAGTGTCAGAACAAATCTTCTCAATAGAACATTTTCTTGTATTTCTTGTACTTTTCTTTTCATATTTTTGGATGCTGCTGTGGCGTGGAAATTTCCCCCAATAGGGGATAAAAAAAATTATTCTATTCTATTCGATTCTATAACTAATGAAAAGCACATATAGCAATCAATTGTTATTTGGTCAACAGTTCTGACTTTGGTGCAATAGCGAGAGCTGATATTAATTAAATTGCCTTGAACCAATCAAATTAATTGCTGCATTATCAAACTTGTTGGACGACATCAAGTCTGCACTGCTAACCTCAGTTCTTGTAGCACAATATCCTCCTTTAATTATTCACGTCTCTTTAGGGATCACAAAGTTGATAGTGTTGACTGTGTTTTCTTAATTCTTACACTGTGTCTGGGTCCTCCTCTCCCCACAGTCAACCTTTAAGTCTGTCAAGTTATCGGAGGTTTCAGCTGATGAGATTCGCTGTAGAGCAGATCAATAACTCCACCAGCCTACTGCCTAATGTATCTCTCGGCTATGACATATTTGACCACTGCTCAGATACACAGAGTTTCCCAGGAATTTTGAAACTCATCTCAGTCAATGACTTGATCCAACCTTGGGATGAAAATCACAACAATCTGTCCAAAGTGATCGGAGTGATTGGAGGTTACACAAGCACTGGGACTCTGACTGTGGCTCCACTCTTCATGATGCATCTTATTCCTATGGTAAATCTACCAATTGATCTCTATTGCTTTGTCTCTTTTTTCTTGTGTGAGAAAGACGATTTCATATGAATTTTCTGTTCCAAAGCAGAACAGAATTTCACATTGTTGAAAATAATGACAATTTCTCTATTACTCTCTTGACAGATTAGTTATGGAGCTGCTACTTCTGTCTTATCAAGAAAACGAGTTTTTCCATCTTTCTTACGGACAGTGCACCCCAACCAAAACACCATAGAAGTGATTGTTCACATTGTGCGACACTTCGACTGGCGCTGGGTTGCTTTCCTCTACAGTGATGATGACTATGGCAAAGATTTCCTGCAATTGTTCATAGAGATGATTCAGGACACTGGGATCTGCCTGGCGTACTCCAGCGCCCTTAGTTATGACACACATTACCCCTCAGTGTTTGGACAGATAGAGGCACAGAAGATAAATGTCATTATTGTTATTGCAATTGAATGGGTTGCTGAAGCTGTCATTGAGTCAGCAATGGCATTAAATGTCACCGACAGGGTGTGGATAGCAGGGGATGCGTGGTCCTTAAACAAGAGGCTCCCCAAAGAAAAAGGAATCAAAAATATTGGAACAGTACTCGGGATTTCTGAACAAGCAGTAGCAATACCTGGTTTCAGTGATTTTATCTATTCTTTTAAAGCCCAGAACTGCAACGATGCAGAGCAAAAGGTTTTTTGTAGTCAGGTTTGTAACTGCAGTAACGTGAGTGCTGAGGAGATCCTTGCTGCAGAGCAGTCTTTCTCTTTTACTGTTTATTCTGCTGTGTATTCCATCGCTCATGCTTTACACAGTGTTTTGCAATGCAGAGCTGACAGGTGTAACGACAATATTACAGTCAACCCCGCCATGGTAAGTACACAGTAACTAATTTGATATGTTCTCCCCATCTGATTCTTTGCTATTTGTTTCTTAAAAGTTTATCTTAGTCTGAAAATGATTGAAATTCATGTTTCTGTCTGTATTAAATGTGTCAATCAAACATTTACAGTATGTAGGTTGAAAAAACTATGTGAGCCACGAGATTAATAACACCAACAAAAGCTAAAATTATGTAAATAATTTGTGGAAACTGTAATCCAATCAGTGAAACAAGACCAAAAGTGTGGGCTGGCACTTCTTTGACTGATAAAAAATCCCTCAAACATTTGAGTTAGCTGCTGGGAAAAAAGGGATCTGAGGGAACTTAATCAGTTTGTTTGCACAAACCTGGAGAGGGTTACAAAGTCTCTGAAAGAGTTCAGTTGATCCATTGAGATGTTGATACTCTCCTAAGAAATGGAGGCCCGGCTAAAAAATAAAAAATACAGTGCAGAATGTTGAATATATGGCAGGACACAAATCAGGAAACCACTGCTTTTCTAAAAAAAAAAAAACAGGGAAACATCACTGCGTCCATGGAGGCTGCAGAAGAGCACATCAGCACTCCACAACACTGACGGTTGTCTGCTTGGTGAAGCTAAAAGTGAACTGATGCAGCAGGACAATATCAAAGTTAATCTGCCACAGAATGAGTTTAAACAGAGTTCATCTTTCTAAATGTTTCAGATTATGTGTTAGTGTTCAGTTACTTTTTCT